ATGGTGAAGTTGTGTTGGTAGGTAGACTTTTGTCAATTGCATTAACATTTTTATATAGTTATGAGAAAATGTATATAATTCATTAAATTATTTATGATTAAAAAAAAAAAAAAAAACTCACCTTCAAACTCCACTTTGTGCAGTTTATGCTTAGTGCCGTCATGGTTGCTTGGTGACGGGGCATGCACTGAGTTAAGGTCAGAAATAAATGTAAAGATCAGACCGTCAGATTTCACAGTCGCTCACTTCCAGTCTTCATGGTCAATGGATAACTGAGTCTATGCTGATTGAGTAGACTCGGGCCTTCGAAGGTTCAGTCTCAGTGTCTTTCCACTTCACAATTATGCTACTTTGATTTGATCGGTCACATAAAACTACAGCACAACTCATTTAAGTTTGTTGTTTTGAATGCGAGAACAAATACTTTTCTAATGCAATTCATTTCAAGAATTTGTGAAAACATGTTGGGATACTTATGGAAGCACAGTGACAATGTAGGACTGCAGTGCTACTGTGGCTTGTTTCAAGATGTGTGTCATTGTTAGGATGAACACTCTGGGTAATAAGTTCCTTTGTGATCCCACAGCACTTCCACTCTGCACCAAGACATTAAAACCAGCCCACAGGAGAATTACGGCATATGCCCTTATGCCTCTCATGGATCAAACTTGAGGGTAGTGGACAAAATAATTGATTTGTCACAGTTGAAGCAAAACATTTTTTTTTTTTTACTACTTACTTTTCTCAGATCCACATTTCTCTCTAGGGCAGTCTCTTCATAGATTTTCAAGCCTCGGGTGCATTTGAGGGTGTACGTTAATTATCAAGTCTAATTCAAAACCCCAACAAGTTATAAGCCAAGCGATTTTGCCAAACTTATTTGACGATTTCTTTTAGGGATTTTATTCAGAGTTGTTCACACAAGTCCAAGTAAAGTCTTAAGTGCTGAAATATACTTTTTCACATTGGATGCATGCCATCTATTTTGCTTTAAACACCAAACCGTCGTAGGTTATGAATTAAAATCCTTTTCCTGAAGCATAATTTCATACATGGACAATTGGCACATTTATATTTCTTTTTACTAGTTTGAATTTAACATGCAATAAATCGATACATTTGAAAATCGGTAAGAAATATTATCACATAAAACATATTGGTAGGCATTCATGTTCAAATAAGACATTTAAAATAGGCTAAACAGGTTAATGTTTAGCCAATTTATTTTAGTTCCTTCAAAATAAAAATTTGTTTTATTTTGAAGGAACCAGAAAGATTGAAGGTCAGACTATAAGATGTTAGTGTATGTTAACTTTATTTGTACTGAAATTATACAAATTCATTAAAACATAGTTGATTTTTAGAAGACAGAGGTGATGCCATTTATACAACACACACAGCAAAGCTGTTAGTAGCCTTTTTTTTTATTATGAAATGTATGTAATCAAATCTGTCTATATGATCTGACCAAATTAACTGTATACTTCTGTAAAGAATATGGCATTTTGCAAAGTGCTTTGTGAAGGTGTGTTGTGATTCATCTCTATATGAACGTAACTGAAATCCAATAGTCCACTGCATTCCTTTTAGAATAGAATAGAAATTCACTTTATTGTCCCACATTGGGGAAATTCACCTGTAACAACTGCAAAAAGTAACTGTGAATCTACAGACCTTACTGTCCTCATGGATAAATGCAAATAACAAAATTAAGAATATTATACTGTACCATAAGGGAAGAATTGCATCATAACATACAGTGCAGTTATTAAACATTGCATACCCTGATCCAAAGGAGAGTAGCACAACTATATATATATAAAATACAAAACGTGTATTTAAAAACAGACTATTTGCAATATATGAAAAGAAAACTGCAAACATTGATGTGCAAATACCAGTAGAAGTGTTATTTGACACCAGGAAAACTGCAAAGAAGAGCAGGGATGTAAACACTTTCTGAGTTTGTTGGCAGCACTGATGGTTATAGAGTCCGACAGCTGCTGGGAGGAAGGATCTCTGATGATGCTTCTTTGTTCACTTGAGATGCAATAGAAGGCTATGATGGGAATTGGGGTAAGAGAAGAATAGAAGAGATTAATAGTCACATCTTTAAATAGTAAATATTGACTTACATGAGAGTGAGGCCAATACCTCAAGTCTTTAGAGTCCAAGTCAAACTTGAAACTCTTTGTCTGGTTTGATGCAATATAGTCCAAGATGAAACTCCATCCTAGCAGTTTAACTTCAGGATAAAGTTCTCCATAAAAAATGTTGTGCAACTTAGAAAAATAGAGGAACAAAGTTGGTTTATAAGCTAAAATTTGTTGCAAAGTCTTAATCTGTTAAAGTTGATGGCTGCCTGAAACCTCTGATCCAAATAATCAGACAGCTGCTAAGCCTCATCCCCAGTGAAGATCTGCCATGCCCAGAGTGCAGCCATTTTAACTTATTGCTTGGTTGGGGAATATGGTTTGGTGAGGGGGAAACACCTGCTTACTTAGGTTACAGTGATTGAGGACTAAGGAATTTAGTCAAACACATAATGGCTTTGTTTTTCTAATTTAAACATTTCTTTACTTGGATGGAGAGCACTGTCGAAACGTTTTGCCCCCTACACATTTCTTCTGCTTTCTTTTTTTTTTTTTTTTTGTCTAACTGAAATATTTCATATTATCAAACCCATTGCAATACCAGACAAGGATAACCTGAGTAAATACAAAAATAATTTTTTTTTCAAAAGGCTTTTAGTTTTGCACCATATGCAGAGGGAAGCACACCATTCACCCAGAAACACAGAAACATGGGCCTTTGTGTTCTATTGATCTATTTTCCCCTTGAAACTCTCCATTTGCGGAGACTTTCTTTCACTGTGGTTAAAATATGTTTATAAACATTTCCGGACTAATAGATGAGAGTGAATTTCTTTGCCTTGAATTTCTTTATATTGGGATATGATGCGTTGCTTACTTTATGTCGTCAGAACGGTTCTACTGAAGTGATTTCTGGCAGTTATCTGACCTGGTAAGGGAAGTGTAACCAAAGAAACAACATTGGCATGCACAGGTAATTCATAATTTGAGAAGAGAGAGCAATTATATGTTCAGACAGTCATTTGGTTAGCTATCTTCCTTTAAAAGATTACATAATTTAAAAGATGCCTTTTGTTTGATCTGATACATTTAAGTGTGATTTAACAGGTGAAAACTAGAGAAACCTTTAAGGGGGAAAATACTTTGTCACAGCACTGTGGTGAAGGAGGATTTCCTGAATACACCAGTATAATTATGTTTGGTATGAGCACATCACCCTGATCAGTATTAATAAATTCTTCCCGGAGTTTGTCAGACTGGCGTTAAGATGGCGAGCTGGAGTTCTCGTCTAGTCTACTGGCACCGCTAGAAGCTCAAATCACGGCATTTCAGTTACACCAGCAGAATAGTCCTGATATATCGAGACTCTTCTTATGTTGCCTATGAGGGTATAATTAATAAAAGAGCATTAATCATTTTGCAGGCTGAACATGGAGGGCTCATTCCTCCAGTTTGCCCCTTGACAAACGTCCCGCAGGCTCACTACTCATGCAACCCGCCGCCCCCCCTCTGTGTGCCTGCAATGTACTCACCCCGCCACATTCTGCCTCCTTTATTGAATGCCAATTAAGCAGATAAATTAGCATGGTTCAAAGATTAATTAAAAAACCTGCTGGTTTCCCTGGGTGATGAAAAAGTTTCAGCTGCATTTTTTTTTTCCTCCCCCTCTTCCAGTTCCACAAGAGATGTTAATGGTTTTCTTTTTAGCTCAGAGGGTATTTACTGGAGGAGATGTAGTTAAAGGAATTTAGGTCACAGTGCCCGTGGTTGGGATTCCTGCCCATGTCTCGCAGACAAATAAGGCTGAACAACTTCAATCTGATTACTTGTGGTAAGATAATAAAGCCAATGTATAATACACTGCTCTTATTTGATGATGCACCTAATTTACAAGGTGAATTAGACATTTGATCAGATGTAGAGAAATCGGTGTGAAATCAGAGCTGTGATGGTTAAAGATCTTTTCCTTTCTTCCCACTAGAGGGCAGCATGCCTCCACATCTTTGTGGAATCCCCACTGGAGGATGTTTTTCTCCTCTCTGTTCATTCTAGCCATCTCTTTGTGAGAGAGTGCTTCTGATAAACATTCTCCTCCATTCTAATCATCATGTCATTCCCTAGCTTTTAGTGCTCTGTCCGGCCTTCACTCTATCCTCTGATGTCTCTCACATGAAAGAACTCTTTGTGATGCCGAATTAAAGTAGCATGAAGATAATACTCCCAATAACACGTAGATACTGCCTATCCAGCCTATCAGCTGTGATTGCATGGCCTCAATAGAAGCCATGTTGTTTGATTTTGTTCTTCTGTTCAGAGTTGGGTTGCAGTGTGCGTTTTTTTTTTTTTTTTCTTTCCTTTTTTTATATTGCTGCTGCCTTTTTCTACTTTTATTTCAAGGACTAATTATTCCTGCCATTATACTCTGCTGCCACAGCCTGCGACTTCAACAAAGAAACATGGTAGGGAATTAATTTAAGCATGGGACAAGATCTGATATAAAGGAGTACTAGTGGAAATGGAAAAATAATTGTTTCTGCGCCTGAAAGGTTTCTACTTCCTGATGGACCCATTATACTGTAAACGATCCAGTTCACAGAGTTTAAGGTTTTCAAATGCAGAAATTTAATTTTTTTTTTTTTTCTTTTTGGTTATGTGTTTATTGGGATCAACTACAGCTGCATATAATTTCTTCATGTTTTTTTCTTTGCCGGGCTAATTAATGTTCTGCAATAAAAAAATAAAAAAAAATTCTAGCAAATGCTACAATCGACGGAACATGTTTTTTTTTTTTTTTTTTTTTTTTTCCCCTTTGGGGTTAGTTCCCTTTAAATGCAACCTTGAAAAAGTTTGGAGAGTTTAATCAGCTTCACTTCTCTGTTCTTTTTTTTTTTTTTTTTTTCTTAATAGGAGGACATGAACCTCAATGAGGATCGTAAAGCCCCTCTGCGTGGGAAGGAACTGGCCATCAAGCGTGAGATGGTGGTCCAGTACATCTCGGCCACTGCCAAATCTGTAAGTGTCACAATAAATAAGTGTTTCAAAAGTGTGTTTCATTTGTGAAAACGAGGTCAAATAACCTGATGCTCCGTTTCATACTCTGCTTTGTCATCCCTTATTGCACACTCACCACTCCACCACCTTTCCTCACGCTTCATGCTTGAGGCCCACCTCTTTGATTGCAGTTTTGATCGACTTGTCTTTGATTTTTTTTTTTTTCTTTCTTGTTTGCTCCTTGGATCTACAGGAACATCTCAATAATGTTATTGAAAACTTGATTTAATTTCCATCATGTGATTAAAAAAGTGAAACTCATAGGTTTATTTCACACCAAGTGATTTATTTTAATGGCGTATTTGTTATTTTTGCTGGTTTAAGGGTATAGCTCATAAAAGCCCAAAAATCTAGCTTGTCAGAAATTAATGTAGCTGGGTGCTCATGTGAAAAAAACTACTTGTGATGCTGAATTAAGATTAAAATAATACTCAAAATAACACCTTGATGCACCAGATACTGGTGTCCAAACAGGCTTGCTACAACTGGAAAATTGAGTGGAAGGAAAAGGTGGAACAAGGTTAACTGCGGCTTACAGCAGACTGTTTAGCAAAGCGCTATTAAAGCAAACTGGGGTTTTTTTTTTGTTTTTTTTTTAATAGCTAAGCAAAACTAACCATGCAGCATTTATGGAGTAATTCATGCAAAGAGAACTGATTGCATAAACCATACAGTACATGAATATACTTTTTAGGCTGACATGTCTGTATTAGATATCCATTCAGTAGGTATCATGTAACCTAATTGTCTGAGTTTTTTAAATATATATATAAATTCCTGTAATAAACACATTTTCTGATACTATTCATATTAATTGAGATGCACCTGTAACTTGGAGCTGCTTACCTAGTTGGTGATTGGTGGATGATTCATGTTTGTCCAGTCTTACTTTTCTTTTGTCCATTGGTGGTGGTGGTGGTGTCTAACCTTTGACCAGCTACGTTATTACTTAAAGTATAAATAAACTCAGAGTTGTAAGATATTGTTCACAATAAATTGTAAAAAGTTCAGATATTAAGTATTGAACTTGATAAGTGTTTTTATCTTATAAAAAAAAAAAAACCCTGCTTGTTTAAAAAAAAATGTTTAGTGCATTTCAGAGAGTCTTATGAAAGGATTTATTTCTCTTAAAGACTCGAGGGTAACAGTTGAAGAATAATATAAAATTGCAATCTGTCGCCCACTGAAAACATTTGTTGCTTTTGGAGACAACAAGGCAGACCTGATTAGGATTTCTGCTGCTCAAAACACCACATGGTTGGATCTGGCAAGAGCAGAAAATGGAAGTCTGTGTCCTTTGGATTTCTAAAACACCTAAATGTCGTCTTTAAAATAACGTGACGCAACTCGTGTTTGCTGGCACCGAAACGATAGCATAAACCCCTTTCACGCACACACTGCATTCCAGTAGTCTGACAGGAAGTAAACATGTGGGTGTCATGCTTTTCTAAAGTGCTTTGTGACGGAAAGCTGACTGGGGTCAGGTCTTTGTTCAAACACAGACCACTTTGAAGACGCCTTAAGCTTGCATGGGCCCATTCTTTGACCGTCTTGTTAGCAGTGCAGACAAAATTAACAGATTGCGTCACTCTCGATTTTATTTGCTCCCATTCTTTTCATTTTAAGTAGTGCTTGTTAGAGCAAACGTATAGACTTGAAGTCTAACAAAACTTTGACCATGGAGTGATGGAGATGAAGTAAACAATCACAATTTCTCAAGTTAACACCAACAGATATGGTATAGGAATGCAGCTAAAACTTTTTTTTTTTTTTTTTTTTTGCCATTTACTCACCGTTTCTGCCACTGTACACATACCATGCTTGGATAAATTGTCTTAAGTATCTGGCTTCAATATTTACCACCAGTTTCTTAATATTTTAGATGAGTAACAGTATGATTTGCAATTTTTATATCTTTTTTTATCTGGTAGTAATCCTAGAGATTTTGGAGAACCTTACTGAGGTGATATTCATAGCACTTCTGAAGAGAAGAAGTGCTTTCTTTCTTCATTGTTTCCTGAACCTGGTAGCTCTGCCTTGACATCGTCATTTATTACCTTGCTCATTGTTATGGTAATTAACTGGCATTATTGATAATGATGATTATCCGAGATGATTGAATTCCTCACAGGGCCCATTATGCTTTGTGAGCAGAGATATTTTATTCAAATGAATAACATAATCTGTGTAGTGAAAGGACAGAGGACAAAATGTGATGTCTGTCTGCACCCTGCTATCACATTTAATAGGGCTGATGGAGGAGAAGGGGAGGGGGACTCGGTGTCAGGGATGAAATAGCTGTTCATGCAGGCTCATGCAAATGTGCAGTTACAGTACAGGACTACTGTAGATCCCCAACAATGTGTAATATCTGCTAACGCCACCGGAGGTTGCATCAATTTGATTGTTTAGGTGGGCTTTTCAAATAGTTTTTTGAAATATTTTATCATACCATCCAGCAGTAGACTGAGGATTTCTATTGAACAATTTGCAACAGTTGTAACGGTTTGCAGCAGTTACTATGAAAATGTAACAATTGTGACAGCTTGTAGCATATTGCTAGACTTGTTTGTGAAAAATGTTTAGGCTGTGTTAAATTGTAAGCAAATCTCCATCTTTTATCTAAGAAACCATAATCGCACGGCTTAGAGAGTTCTGATCAGCATTGTTGAATTAATGACCCATTGGAAAGTTTGAAACTTGGAACAGTTGAAAGAAGGAATTGCATTTCAGCAGTTTAGTTATGTGTAGCTGGTAATGGGCTAAATATAAAATGTTGCACAGAGTCTAGATAGGTGGTTTGGCTTTTTAACATTCTGGGCTTTTTTCTATCTTGCTGTGGGGTTTTCAGTTTGGCTGTGGTGTCTCCAGTGTCTGTCATTTCTGAAAGGCTTACTGTGTCTTTTATTTTTTAACGTCTTTACTGTTTTATTGCATTTATTATAATTCAACACACTTACGGGTTTGGTTAGTGGTAACATTTTTGAAATATTTTCCTCTGTTTCTTTAAGCAGACAGCATCCTCAGGTCATTTAAAGCACACGATTTAAATGATTAAATACTGGTGGAGCACCACAGATGTTGGTCTCTCCAACATGCTTTCTGACCAAAACCCAACAGCTTTCACATGCACCAATCAGCCAAAGCAATATGATCACTCCAAGGTGACATTTCATTGAGGTGTGGTAGTTGGCCTGTATATTATGGAGAAAAAAAGGCAAATGTAATTTAAGCAAATTTGAAATTGTGATGGCAGGGTTACAAGAATCTCCAGATAATATGCAGCTTCTGTAGAGTGTGGCAGCTTCCTAGTTCTCTGGTCCTTCGAAGAGTGGTCTCACGAAAGGAAACTGGTGAAGGTCCACTGATGACTTAAATAAAGGCCAGTCTTAAAACTCGCCTGGTAGCAGCTAAAGTGGCTGATGTAATTAAAAGTTGTACAGATGAAACGAGCCAAACAAACATTTATTTTAAAGACCAAAATCAGTTTTTTTGTATCAAGTTTTCATGTACTTCTTACCTGAGGAACACCAAAACGCACAATGAGCAGAGAGCCATCCAGCAGTGGCAATGAAAGGCTTTGATTGATGCTTTGTTGGAAAACCTTGGTTGTTGCTGTTGATTTAGATGTTGCAGTAAACTATTTACCTGATCTGAAACTGTGCTTTGTGAGAACAGGATAATGAGCCCTTCTGCTGCTGGAATTGCTCAGAAACTATTTCAGCAACAAAATGGCAAAGTGGAGGTTTTGATTTGGTCTCCAAATTATCTGAATCCCAAACTAGTGAAACATCTGTAAGACGCCAGTTTACAGGATTTGCAAAATCAATACTTAGTTGTTGGTGCCAGATTTATGCTGCTCAACACCTCCTCGGTTTATTGTTGCCTTTGTAGCAAAAGGAAACTTAATATGCAAAAGATTTTCATAATGTCCTAGGTGACTATCCATCACTGATGCATACTGACACATCACATTTGCTTTTAAACTTTGCTTGCCTGAAATAATGAGTACAATTCTTACTCTTGCAAAATATGTATTTTGAAGAAAATTTAAAGCCATTCTCTCTCTCAAGCCATGCAACATTGAATACAGACTCATATTCTACAAGGTTTACCCCAGCAGGGGTCTGGCAAATTACTCCCAATACAAATGGAGTATTGAGAAAAAAAAAAAAAAAAAAAAAAAAAAAAAAAAAAAACTTTTGCAAAGACCTGGCTCATTTAAATATGAACTGATTACCATGGAATCCAACTCTGCTTCTGCATGAGTCATGTTTAAATGTCTTTAACTATTAGCTTTGCATGAGCTGCTGCTTTTCTTTTTCGCCGCCTTTCTTTTTTTTTTACAGCCCTTCTCTTTACATTTGTGCAAATTTAATCAAAAATGCTAATTTCACAAATTTTACTAATGCTACTAATACATACTTTGAGTCTTGTGTTAAATTATGAACATGCTTTGTTTAATGTTGGAAGGATGTGATGTAAGGTCTTGTAAATGGGGATTGCTCATTATTGCATTCTTTTCTTACTACTTTTTTTTTATTTTTTTTTTTTATGTGACCATCAATTTTCAGCTTTCCTCTCCGAGTGGCCCGTACAGTTTTCAGAGAAAGTCCAGACCACTAATGATTATTAATTTACAGTACTCGTACAATTTGTGGTACATAGTGATGTCTTGAGAGGAAAACGTGCAAGTCATTAAGTACATCATCTATTGTGGATATTAGAAGCCTACATTTCCTTGTTTAAGATGGCAGGTTTTTGTGTTCCAGAACTTTTTCCACCTTGAAAGTGGCCTATAAAATTGAAAACACTGAAATCTTTTTTTGGGGGGAAATGGCAATAAAAAGAAATAATGGTGAAATGCACATCTTGACCAAAAACACACACACACACACACACACACAAAAATCACCACTTGGATTTAACTAGACCATTAGCTTGTAGTGGCTTCCTATTGGCAGCAAATTATTACCCAATGGCATCTTCTGATTTCTTAAACAACCATGTGGAAAGACACATCCTGTGATTGTGGAACATATCTCAGTCTGTTTAAGAAGGATCAAATCATTGGCATCAAGTAGAGAAAACGTCTAAAGAGATGTAGAAACTACTAAAATTAGGTTGAAAACTTTGGACGAAATTGGGGTCAAAACAACAGTTCAAGTCGGCACAAATCCTTCAGGCTTTGTGCTGGAAATGTAAAGAAATACTCTTCAAAAGAATAGCTTCACCAGAAGAAGATTGGTTCTCAGCCCAGACCTGAATCTGTTTTGCGATCTGAAGAGAGATGCACACAGAATATCGGCCAAATTTAGGGCATTGTGGTAAATAAAAAGGAGCAAATATGTGGGCAAAATGTGCCAATAATGATCAAATCATACCTCAGAGGTTAATTGTAAAAATGTGCTTAAACACAATTTATATGTGTGTGTGTGTGTTGAGAATTATGCAACAGTATTGTTCAAATATTTTTCTAACTCAAAGAAATAGTTTTTGGAAAGGAGCTGTTCAAGAGCTAGCTCAGACGAAAGGTGGAAAAACTTCTTTAATGATTTTGGCGTTCTGTTATTTGTGATATTTCAAAAAACCTGTCACTATAACAAGCTGTGCAGACCTTGTAACATCCACTGTACCCAATGACTTGTCTTTTTTTTTTTTTTTTTTCCCAAAACACACATTAATTTGAACCGGTGCCTCTCACCTTCAAGCTCCTTCCAGTGTTGTGTTCTGGCGCACTAAAGATGATGTCTGTTTGGTAGAGCTGCTGTAAATGTGTTTTAAAGTTAAATAGATGTACGTTCTGCAGCAATTGTTGTATTCTGGACCATTTTAAAGGCATGCAATAGTTGCTAAAAACATAGAGAAATTGTTGCATTAAACTGCTTCTATGGCTGTTCTGAACATTTAGTAGGGTGAAGGAAAGGGTAACTATTGCAATAAATGGATGCAGACCTGGACAGTTTGAGAATGACGGTAAAAGAAAATGAAAGTTAGATTTTTTTTTTTCTTTGCCTCCTATAAAAACCGTAGAAAGGAAGGGGGGAAATGGCTCAGTGTGTCCTATAACTTCTTGCAATCAGAATGCAATTCCCTAGAAGCATGTTGTAGAGCGAGAGGAGCTCAGCCTCAGATTAGAATACATTTACTCTGCTAACAGACACCTTCCCACTGTGAAACAAGTCCCACAGTTGCAGTAATGAAAATCGCTTCTGCTACCTGCCACTATTGACAGATAACAAGGTTAAACCCTGGGAATTGTGCTGACTGCATGGGTTCAAGGTAGTTCTGCCACACAAATGTGACATCTGAAGACCACTGTTAATGGCAGAAGATTGATTTTTACACCAAAGGGACCTTCTTCACATTCTGTACCCGCAGTAGCAAGTGTTCATGTTTGGGTAAGAATCCAAAATCTGCATCGACCAATCAAAGACATTTACCCTCTCACTTGTCTTACTGTCCACATTGTCAAATTATTGCAGAAGTGCAGGAAATTTTGCCTTGATATTTACATCTCATAATTTATATCTCAGTCGGCCCATAATTTAACAATAGATGACCTGCAGCTGCCAACAACAGACATAATCTTCAGTATGCAGTAATAGCTGTGAGAGTTATCTTGTTTGCTTTTGTAAATATTTTGTGAAACCGAGTGAGCTATAAATGTATGAAGGATTTTTGTGTTGTCACAACAGATACGCTAATGCCTCAACTTGTAATGGATAATTCTCTGGCCTACTAACGATTGTGCCGTTTGTGTCTTTTTGCACATTAACCTTCTCCGCCGATTGCTGCATGCAGATAACTGGGAGCAAAGTTGCGGTAAGTAGCCTATTATTTATTTGGCTTCCAAATCTTGTTATTTCTTTGTATCTGTCTTCATTCCTATGAACCCATGCATACACACACACACACACACACACAACCACCACAGCATCTTCAGTCGTGAAGCTGGTTGGGAGCATATTCTGAACTGTGCATATAAGGTCATTGCTTAGCTTTGTGTTTAAAGATGCATGTTGATGTGTTAATTGAAAAAAAAATACTGTCTTGACTTGGTTTCTGCAGCGTTTTTCATAGAATGCTCTGAAAAAGCTCTTTACCTGTGAATAATACAACGTCAGTGATTTTTACAAATGCACAAATCTGCTGGATCTTTCACCCACTGCTTGGAGAAATAATTCAGATGGTTCAGGTTAATATAAACCTCAGTGTTTACTGATAATTTATTTTAATGCAGCACAACAGACTTGTTGGAAGTTGAACTAAAATGCACTTGCGGACCAAACCACAGTGAGCGTACCGTTTTCTTTTTTGTCCCACCCAACGTCACTAGATTTATTTATTGGAGACATTTATTTCTGAATTTGTTTTCACTGCAGCTGGTTTGACGGAGATAAGGAGGGAGCTCAATAACCAAATCTTGGTTATGGTGAAATATGTGTATCATTTGAATTAGTATCATTTCTGTTTGTCAGCGTACTGGCAAAAACAGAAGCGTAAACCATAATCAATTATTGCCTTTTCATCTGCAAAGAGTTGTCCTGCTGGATTCTGTAAGCAAAATGAGCGTCGTCTAAATAAAGACCTGCGTCTAGCTCGAAACATTGCGCTCGTCTTTCAATGTCAATGTCAAATTTATTTATATAGCACTTTAAAAACAGGGTTAAAACTGCACCAAAGTGCTGTACAAAACCGATAATAAAATAAGTTGATGAAAAGAAAAAGAGAAATATTACAAGAAAAACGAACAAACAAAAAAAGTCTTTCTGAGGTTCCAAGGTGGGTCTGTGTTTATATAAAACCATTTGCCGCTGCAGGTAACGTTTGCAAGAGGAAAAAAAAAACAACAAATCATGAAGGTTGAGCACTTCATTTCCTTTTATTTGAAATAATCCACAATTACTCATCATGGAGTTTAATGGTAAATGTTTATGACCTGAGAATTCAACACAGCTGATTTTATTGCATAACATGGTTACGCGTATTGAAGTATGTTTAACTCTCAGCCAACTTACTTATTTACTGATTTGTGCTTCAAACGTGAACTGCAAACTTGTTTGCGGAAAATGATTGCACAACTCCAGTGCTGCTCAAATAACATGCTTATTGACTGGTAGATTGTTCCTGACTGATGTAGTCTGGGTCAGGTGTTAGTTGCCACTTAAATGGGGTTCACTGAAGTGGAAAAAAAGACTTTAACACCCTGACGGACAGCGATTGGCATCATTGGCTAAATACTTGTGCACCATGCTAAGCTGTTTATTTTTGCACAGGGATTTACAGTCTCCCTTTTAGCATCCTTAAGCCATCTCAGATGTTTAAGCTTTCAGAAACTTTTCTTCTGGCTGTGAACTCTTTGCTTCATCAACCCATTTGTGAATCTAAAGCAAAGAACCTTCAAGCATCAAAACCAAGAGTAGAGGACTTCACTGCAACCACAAGCGGCGATGTCCACAAGCAGAATTCCCTGTAGGGAACAGTTTTCCATGATTTTTTTTCAACTTCCTAGAAGAGTTACTTTTGTTCATCATTCTAAGCAAAAGTGGAATTTATGTTTAAAATAAAATTAATTTAGCAAGTTATTTTAACATTATCATTTAATTTTGTTGACCAGGGAGCTTAGTTGAGTTATGGACATTAAGTAGCTGTTTAATCGTATGGTTCTAATTGTCTGCAAAAGTCTTTTAAAAATTATTTCAGTGAAAAATGGAGAAAAAAAAAAAAAAAAAAACTTCTCACACAGTAACGTCTTTTGAAATGTGAAATTGTGACTTTCAGTAGCATCGATTAAATTGCTCTTTCATTGCCTTTTCAAGGACTTTATAAGGATTAAGACTGTAAGACCTAAGAGAAGCACAGGCAAGGTTAAGCAGTGCACTGTGACCTGGCCCCATCTCCCTCCATGCTCTCATACATACCTTGCTCTTTGAGGCATTTTTAAGCCTTTTAGAAACTGTCTTTTTGTGCTTGGTTATTTCTATGGCAGCAATGGATTTATCAGCGTGGTCTGTTTGGATGGCCCACATAGTAGGTTTCAATCAGCAATAATGGCTACCCTGTGTTCAGTAAATAGAAAAGGACAAAATTACCTCATTTTGGATCATGACCACTCATCTAAGATATGAAGACCTTCTTTCAGAACCTCTGCAGACCGTTTGAAAGGATGCGACAAGTCCTGGTTATCAATAACTTTCTTTCATTTCAAAAGCTCCCAAGAAGTGTTTGACCTGGGATTTTTAACCTTTGTGAGAATCCAAATAGACTCTGTGTACTGAAAGCCATGAGCTCTCATTCGTGAAGGCCCCATTGAAAGAGAGGATAGAAGAACCAGTATTTAGCCTGGTTAGCCAATCGTGGTCTAGTCGAGGACCCCTCTCCCCCCCATATTCCTGGCAGATTCCCATTTTCACGCTGTCAGCATGCGGCGATGAGGGCTCTCAGATGTGCTAGAAGGAAAGTGTTGGTTCTGATGGTCCATTGGGAAAACACAAGTGTAACTCCTCTGTCTCAGGCATGAAATCTCTCTGGCACTTTCTCCTCCGCTAGTAAGGAATGAGCCAGGAATAGAACGCTGTGAATTGACTTTCATCACTCTGACCATTGTGGAAGTGTGCGACTCAGCTCCACAGCACTAGTCTCGCTTTCTCTTTCAAGCTCCATCCAAAAAGTAGGAAAGATGTAAGCAACACATTCAGGTAATTACAGCCTTCCAGATAGACTGGAATGAATGCATTACACTGGATACCTGCTCCCGTCTGCTGACCTCTACAGCGGTTTCACATTAGTCCGTAACCACTGGCCTAGTCCAGGTCTACCCGTCAGCATCTGCTGCTGCGTTGCTTTAGAAAGTAGACTTCTATCTTGTCTCGTCCAATGACAGACTCTGCAGCTCAGGGGGCTGCTGAGACTTGGCGTGAGAGGGCGTGTGATGCATTTGTTGAAGAAACTGCAGCGGAAAATCTCCAGGCCACAGGAAATGATCAATACCTGTACGACTGGACAGATGACTGCTTGGATGCCGGCCGGCTCTGAAATGTCAGGTTGTGCGATGGTAAATAGGGTTGTGTAAACAACTGCTCTCTGTATGTTGTTGTCAGTGTGCAGATTTGACCAAAGAGTCTAAAAAGCCTTATACCAGAGAGAAAAGGTCAGTACTGGCTGCACTGTAACAGATCTAATTTACTGGCATGTTCTTGTTTTCTGAGTAAAACTGGGTGTGATTTTAGGGCTAAAGGTGTATACTCAAAATCTTTTTGCCAGTTGTAAAGTAGAAGTACGTTACTCTGACATATCAACAGTTTAAAACCTATTTCTAATAATATCATACATCTTCTTTCCATTCACGCCACAGTTTTGTAATAGAATCACTGTGACCCAGGGTTTCTGTTCTAATCCAGTACTAGAAAGTAGCATCTCATGTTGATTCAGAGACAAACTTAAGAACCAACCACGCACATTAAACACCTCAGGGCAGTTTAGAGACCAATAGACACGAAATGCATGTTTTCTTGGCTGTTGGAGGGAAGGATGGAGTACCAGAGAAAAAAAAAAAAAAAAGTTTTGTTTTGTGAGAAATTTAAAAACTTTGCTTGTTGGTTCTGATTATGGAGACGCCAGGTGGATGATTCCTTTCCGGGCTTTTATCTTGAAGATCGGATCATGTTCAAACAATGACCAGTTCCAGGCTGGGAAAGGGAAAGTTCTAACACTCTGGTCTTGGTTACATAGCTTAGAATGATGCAATACGTTTAGTGTTATTTCCTGTCTTAACTAGATACATCTGTTGACGTAATTGGTGGGTGTTCTCAATATTTACTCCACTGACACACTTCATTATCAATATACCTTGTCTGGACACTGATCTGAACAATATCCACTGAGGTCGCCATCTTGTCTCTATGCCTGCTGGTGTGTTCAGGGCACTGAAGGGTCACCACAGCTAGCAACAAAATAACACCTTAAAAGATCATAAATGAACAAAACTTTCTGCCATATCCAGATATTTATGAGTGATGCCGGCGATGTGTGAGACGGTGAATGTTGGAGAGAAGAAGCACAAAACGGCTCAATAACATAAGTTCATTATTTTACACAATGACAGAATGTTGACACTTTAAGGTTTCAACCACTTACATTAGCATTGAATAATAGAATGTATCTGAACAAGCCAATACGAGACTGCAGAGTTTTGTTTGTGCCACCATACAGTCATATTTTATAACTGATTCAAACTGGGATCAGAACCACGACCAATGAAAATAAACATTCATACAGTTAGATTAATTACAGCAGCTGAGCATTTTTATATTTACTGCCATAATTTACTAGGGGAAATAACACTTTATTCATTGATGAAGTGCATAGTTTATTTACAGATCAAATCAAATTTGTGTATAAAGCACACTAAAAATAATGAGCTTGACCAAAGTTCTGCACAGCAAGCAGGGTGTAGAAATGTGTGTGTGTGTTTTTTCTAACAAGATTTAAAAATGGTTATTGATGGAGCCTGGCTGATTTGTAGAGGCAAACCGTTCCACAGTGTTGGAACCGCCACTGCAAAAACCTCCCTCACCTCTGGATTTACAGAAAACCTTAGGTACCTTTAACAGCATCTGATCTGCTGACCTGATAAATACGAGCTGTAACACAAGGATGCAGTGGTTCAGTGAGATGAGCTGTTGCCAAGTTATTAAGAGACTTAAAAACAAATAAATCATGACAAATTACAAGCGTCCTAAAACCTGCTTTTATTAAATGTGTTCTCTGCCATCTTCCACTTGACAATATTTACCTCAACTTTGCATTAAAATAACACAAAAAACATAATCTTTTAATAAAAGCAGAACAAACCTCTGAGACATCAGGAAACTCAGTATATTTTGGTTTTATTGAATTGATCATTTTAAGGATCTTTAACTTTAGCATTTTTATTTTGAGAATGTCCAAGATTAATAACATCCACTTTTTATATCTTTCAAACAAGTTCAAGTATATATTGAATTGCATTTAATTGTACCACAAATGTTTTTTTTTTGACGGAGTGCAATGTAATAAGAAATCTGGCATTTCTTTGTGATATAAGACACCTAATTTGTTAATTTCTTTTAATTTCAAAGTGCTGTTTAACTTTCTCACTTAAACCAATTCATCTTCATCTTAATTAGGGTCAGTAATTATGAAGTTATTGTCTTTAGAAGTGATTTTTTTTTCTGTAATTCCCAGATGAACAATTTGCAAAACTGACTTTAATTCAACACATTTTAAAAATATAAATATTCCCCTGTTGAATAACCTTTGTGTTTTCATTAGTTTAACTCGTTGGAGAATGGAGGTTTGCAAAACCCCCAACTGGAGCAAAAGCTGAAAACTCCGATCACTTTAACGTCACTAAGTATTAGATATGAATAATATAAGTGAAAATGTTCGGAAATTCCAGGTTTCCCTCCAATATTTTATTCTTTCTGCAGCGTTTTTGTTTCAAGCGAGCTATTAAACTGGGGGCTTTAGGTTGAGGAGATTTGATGTGGCACATGTCCTTGATGCTTTAAAAGGACGGCAATGAAAAATTAATAAATAGTGTGTGCCTCTCATGCCCTAAGCCAGTGTTCGCCATTCACCATTCTATTATAAATTAAGATCAAGGAAGCAGGATCTGCACAGGACTGAATTAGATTGTTCTTTGATTGGCTGAAAGCTTATTTTAGAGTTCCTCTTTGTGACTTAAAAATTTGTCTTGGAGTTCTCAGATGGAGGATTTATTTGACAATCCTCTGGTAAATGGGGACGCAGGGTCAGGATTTTTTCCATTTTAATGCGTATGAATATTTACTGCTTCTCTAATTCTTTAATAGTTTTAGGATTTTTTACTTCCAGTCTGCTTTACTGAAAGGTTTTTTTTCTTTTCTTTGATGTCTATATTCAAATGCAGAAGGCGATGCAGCAGAAGTCCCCTCTGCCTTAAAAGATGAGTCCAGATCTCTGCAGCACTGCCTCAATTTTTTAAAAAATGTTCCAAGACTTGCTTTGCGAATTACCACATATTTCTATAATACAGCAAGCCTGCAGTTAAATTAAACATTTCAAAATTATAAAAGCATATAACTATCAGATACCTCCTGCACACTGTTTGCATGTTGCATCAGCTTTAAAATGTGTTCCAAACTGATTCTCTAAGGTTGTAAAAATGTTGTTTTTTTCCACCTAGGAGTATAAAAGCTTTATTTAAATCAAATCTATTCAATAAAGTTTTTTTTTCCTATTTCAGATATTTTTCAGGTTTTAATTGAATACAACTTCTGTATGCTTTTTGTCAAGGTCACCGTGACTTTTTCCTGTGAATTCAGCATCTCAGGAGAGAATCTGCATTAAATCTGAAACGAACGTTATGGACGCGCCGATCACAATGTGATTTTTAAAGATCGAGGGTAAAGTTCAGCAGAGCACTACAAAGACATATGTTGGCTTCTAATTGAATTGCTGTTTGATAACAAGCAACACATCATAAAGCAAGGACAGTCAGTCATGACGCCGTTCTCTTCTGGCAAACTAAATGTTAAATATTCAAGACGGATGTAAGCAGTCGTTTGCTTTTCAACATGAATACTTTTGAATTACAGATTACATTCTTTTAGTAGAGTTGAATTTTTTTGTATAGTACTTCGACAAATGGATTACAGGTATGGCTCAGGTTACACATTTTTAGTAAAAGTAATCAAAAGTAATTACATGAATGTAAAATTTTTTTTTTTTTTTATCTGCAAGCAGCTTATAATCAGTACCTTTTAATTTAGGATATTTTCTACGACAAATACTTTGTCTTCATCGTCATCCATGTAGCAAAGTCTAACAAAAAAAAAAAAAAAAAAAAAAAAAAGGAATGAGAAATACAGTCATAGTGCCTGGCTGGAGCATTGCAGGTAACTTCTTTTTTTTGCCTGAGTAATGGAAGGTCAGGACAAATCAAAACAGAACTGTAAAATAGAGCTGTAATTGCAGTGGTTTCCCTCCAACAAAGCAAATAGTTGGCATGCGAGTAGTAGACTGTATTAGTTTTCGTAAAATCAGATTAAATTTACAGAAAACTCCTGAAAGTGAGTTATTGAAAAGCTCTTCTTTCAAAAGCATCTTCACTCATCTCAAAATGTAATCCAAACTGCATGGTTGTCATCTAATTTTTTATTATTTTTTTTTATCTCGGTAGGAAGTCTCAGCTGTGTATGTGCTCCTCTGTAAGAAATAACATTAAAACAAAACAAACAAACAAAACAAAAAAAACAAACACTGTAGGCAACGCTCCAATTACTATTAACTAGCAGGTTGGCCTGTGTTGTGTGATGTTGAACTCAACGTTTTTCATGATGACTTCTAAATTTATTTTTGCCTGTCATTTTGTGAATGGCTCGACTTCAGGCATTCATGGTTGGGTTTGACCTTTACATGCTGTGGAAGAGCTGGAGTTCAGCTGCGACGGCGGGTGGGCTGTGTGGGAGGGATTAGGTCAACTTCAGCTCCTGTTTGGGGTCCTGGGAAACGAGGTTATTCTGCCATGAGCAGTTATTCTTTGAGTTTTAGTTCATCAGTATTTCAAGCTGACTGGGTCTACATTTCTAAATCTTTCAGAAAATAGTTGAAAAGTAAAATGTTTTTTTCACTCATTTGTGGAAGTGAGATAGTTCAAGCTTTTCTTTTTTTCTTTGAATTTTTGGTTTTCATTATCTGTAAGCTGTAATCGTCAAAATTCTGTACCTCAAAAAAAAGTGGAATATATTACAAAGCACAAGGTTAGAATTTAATTTGTTAAAATCAGATTTTCAGTCAATCAGATTTTATTTGTATAGCACATTTCAGCAGCAAGGCATTTCAAAGTGCTTTACATCATTTTACACAAAACCACAGTCATGCAACATTGAATCAACAATCAAAAAACATGAAATTTTCTGCCGAGTCGAAGTTCTGCCCTTTATGGGTACCTCATCCAAAAAAAAAAAAAAATAAAATAAAAAAAAGGGGGGATGGGGGGACTCCAACCTGCACCCCTTCAAACAAATTAATAAACAAAAAACAAGAATACATACATGTAAACAAAATAAACAATGTTCTTCAATATGTCCTTATAACAAAATCTAACAATATATACTATAACAATATTTTAATGCATACATTAATATATAATTGCCACATTATGGTCTGAACAATCATGGGGAAGACTGCTGACTTGACAGATGTCCAGAAAAGAGTCATGGACATCTGACACAAAGTGGATACGCCCCAAAAGAGACTTTGCTAAACAAACTGGCTGTTCACACTCACGCTTTCTCTTATTACATGTGCAAATCGGTAAATATGTCTGTAGTAAAAAAAAAAAAAAAAAAACTTTTAGTGGCCAATATGACTGGAACAAATCTATATAATGGGTTTTAGATTCTGAAATGACTGACAAAAAAAATAAACTTTTTTTTTTTTACTATGTTTACATCTTTATTATAATATGCACCTTTGTTTGATTTGTAAAAAAAAAAAAAAAAACACTGATCAACAAATGTCAACATTATCAGACCCTTCTTGTATAATTTAAGCAGCAGTTGCAGGTGTAGTTGTTGCCTTTCTGTTTCAAGTAAAAGCGACTCGACATTTTTGTGTTTCCACAGCGAAAAAGTTACTTTACCTGAGATTATCATACCCTGTGAATCTCATACTGGCCCATATCTCCTTGTTTCTGTATTTCTATTTCCTTTGACGCAACTTTTTAAAAAACATCGTCTTTTCAAAGCCAGAAACAATCATTCCCCTTCAATCAGAGGAGCAGAGCTGGATCTCGTTATTTTGAAGGGAACATGAAAGGCTGAAGTGGTCACAGTATGCCGATATTGGATTGAGCAGAGGCTATGGCGGAGCTTTATAGATGCCGTGCTTGTGTTGGTGTGTGCACACACTGCTGTGTGTAGCCATACTTGTGATGAGTACCAACTTTCTCTATGCTGTTCTGGCAGACTTGGATGCTGCAGCACGGGTTTAGACTCGGCACGGAGAAATACACACCGACTATTTCCAGAGAGGGGCAGGAGGGAAGAAGAAGAAGAAGAAGAAGAAGAAGAAAAAGGATTCCTAGTTCTGTTGATTGCGTATCTTTGAATTTTTCTCTACTGTATGCACATCCCCACACGACTGATGGACCTTGTGGAAACTAGCTTTGCTCAGTTGTACATCTCTCCCCCACAGCTCTGTCACACACTCAGCAGCTCCGTTGGCATGCTCGGCTCAGTGGGGGGCTCCTGTGGGGCCGCATTAGGCTCCATAAACTTTATAGCATATTTTTACAACCCTACTCTCAGTATGCATCTACCATCACAAGCCACCGCATCTGCTTTAACTGTTCACACAGCTGTGAAATTCTGTGTATCCCCATGTTTTATGGTTGCTTGCTCCTCTAGTCATTCCCGATTTCTTTATTTGCTTCTTTAGCTTTTAGATATCCTCTACATCTGTGTATATTTAGTAAGCTATTTGCTTTGTTTGATGGCGCGTCTTTTCTTTTTTTCTTTTTTTTCTTTTTTTTTTGAACTAGATGTCATCTTCATCTCAATGCCGGCTCTGTGTACGTTGAGATTTGCTTGGAGGATGTTTTGCATTTGGGGAGTTGATAAAATACTTCAGTTCATAAACCTCTTTTTCATGCATGTCTATTTATACCACGTGCAAAGTTTGCTCTGACTTCTACCAGGAACTTTCATAGCACCTTGCAGCTCAGGTTAGTAGTCCACTCTCTGCAGCAGTGTGCTAACAAGGTGTTCTCTCTGCCCATCAGCTTGAGCTCCCTAACAGAGCGGTTGTACTTGGACGCACAAGAATAAAGCCACATAATCGCCTCATCAGCGGCCAGTTTCCTCCCTTATTCCTCAGACAGATCTCTCCTCTGAAGATCGGTGACATGATCAAGCAACCTTACTAGCTGTGTTTTTGTCTGGCTTGTGGTTTCTTTATCGTCTCCCGCTTAAGAGAATGACTATAGTGTTAAATTGGCAACTTTTAAGCCGTTAACCGGCACCATGTGGTTGGTTGGACGGGCTTCTGTCTCTTGCGAGTAAATGAGCGCAGGAAAAAAATAAATAAATGACGAATTAGTCATCTTGTGTTAGATATAAAGATGGATGATTCTGAGACTTGCTTTGAGGTTTGTTGGTGAAATGGTTCAGCTGCGGCACACGATAAGGGGCGAGTCAGAAATACTCGCTCTTGATCCTTGCTGGATGCTCTCTGCATGCCACACACTGCCGGGGTCCCGAAGTGGCTTTAGCTTTTTTTTTTTTTTTTTTTTTTTCAAAATTGGACATTTCATTCTTTATCTTCACTTGCTCTCTGCCAAGGTTTAAAAGTGATAACAGAGAGACGGCACTTCAAACAGTTTGGGTGTAGTTAGGTCTTTAAATAAAGGTGATTATCCATAATCATGGTCTGACTCAGGGTGTGGGGCTGCTGCAGGTGTCTGACCAGAGCTGTAGTACCAAAGTTAAGCACTTGGTGGCAGTGGATGGCTACTAAATTGTCAGATTCTCTGGATGCACAGAGCTGTATTGTTGGTATGCAGTTGTCTTACTGGGTTCCTTTGAGCCACCTAGGTGTGCCATTAATACCGTTTCCTAGACATCTGAGGTTTAAAGGGTGGAAGAATTGTAAAATGCTTCAGTTGCAATTAGTCTGCCTTTTTTATCATTAGTTTGCTACTGTAAACAAGAAGTAATGAGTCTGGATGTTTAGTTTCTTTGTTTCTTTTTGTTGTTTTTTTTTTACATATCCAATATGAACGTTGTCTCTAGCATGGAAGATATCTTTCCTTTCCTTGATACCACTGTCTGTGCTGATTAGACTGATGCATATGTTGTTCTTCAATTTAACATATTTGATGCATTTCACTGATTTTCTGTATCTATTTTTACAAGGCCATGTCATTTCATCCTTTTCTTTCTTCTCTGTTGTCTTTATACAAAACCTTTAATGCATAACACCCACAGACCGACGCCAGGTTGGCATCTTACTGCGCTCTGTAATATGTTTTCCTTCAGAAAGATGAACTTCAAGCCCCATTGCTCATCTGAGCCCACTTATTTATACACGTGAGTCATATTTGTTTATAGACACCCCGAGCTCTTTACATGATGCCGGTTCGTGGGTTTAACAGCGATGGAGACGGTCTCGGTTATCTGCAACTTTCACCGAGACTGGCTGAAGGAGCGGCGATGCTGCGGCTCGCACGTTCTGTGTTTCACCTCTTTCCGCCTCGTCATTTTTGTCTCTGAGGTGCTGAATCAATTTTTAACACGCAGCCATATGGTATTGTTGCTTTTGCAGATGAATATGAGGTAAAATAAAGCATATAATAGCAGAGCAGCAATGTTCACCCCCTGCTGTTATTTCCACATATGTTGTAAAGACGTCTGCCTCCATCGACCGGTGGTCGGAGTAAATCAAGCACTCTGTTTGAATGGGGCCAATTACTTGATATTGGCCTGAGGCTCATTTGATGGCAGATGTATAGTGCTCCAAACGGCGATGTGCTTGATGTTGGCCATGGGCACAGCATGAGGGGGGGACATCCAATCACACCGCGATGGCTGACCTGTCTCTTTATGTCCTGAGCGGATGTGAGGAACGGTCTTTTAATGCTGATTTGGGCGGGTACGCCGGCCTTGAGTCACACAGCCGGACCGGGATTAAAAACCTTATG